CCAGAGAGGGACAGAGAGACAGAAAGCGAGAAATCACCCCCCAGGGGGGATGGCCACGCCACAATCCCTTCTCCTCCATTCTCCTCTCGGGATCTTGGGCACGCACGCACATGGGCCTGGCGTGAGTTTTAAGCCACCGGGTCCAGGACGCGAACTGCGGTCGACTACATGGGAGTGCAGCGACATAGCCATTATGCTAACTGCTGGTCTCTATTTGGTCATTTCAATGCAAGACTGTTCCTCAGCCAGGAAGACCGGGGGGTGCCACTGGCTTCAGTCCTGCTAGTCTCTGTAGCGGCTGGCAGGCCCCCTGGGGCACTCCCATCCTGGTGTCTGTGTTCTTCCTGCAGGGCCCCGAACACCCCAACCCTGGGAAGCCATTCACCGCCAGAGGGTTTCCCCGCCAGTGCTACCTCCCGGACAACGCCCAGGGCTGCAAGGTAAAGGCCTCACTGCCTGCCGTGGGGTGTGGTGCAGGCAGGGCCCAGATCAGGCAGCAGAGACCTGGTGGCCTCACTGGGTTCTTCAGACCTTCTTCCTGCAGCGGGTGGGAGAGACCCTATGGCCAGGGCAGGTGTATGCCGCTCCTTTCCTTGGACCCACTGAGGGTTCAGGAGTGGTGAGCTGGTCTTCACAGGGACATAAGGAGGTGGCTTTAGGAGCCTGCTGGGCCGGATGATGGTGCTCCTCAGGGGTGGGATAGCAGGCGGTGACCAAGGGAGGGACTGGGCAGCCCTGAGGAGTGATGGCTGCAGGGAACCTGAATGAGAAGAGCCTCTTGGCAGGCAGACAGCTTGAGTTGGGAACCAGCCTGGGTAGGGTGACGGCTACAAACTGGAGCCATGGCCTTCCCCAGGCCTGCCATGAAGGTGGAGCTTATTTGAAGCACAGTGAAGCCACAGGAGGGGGAGCTGCTGGTTCTTGGTTGAGAGAAAAACTTTTGGCTACAGAGGGATGGTGGCCAGGTGTAGAGTCAGCGAGAGAGGCAGGGAGGGCAGATCCCACTGAGGAGGAAGGGTAGGGGGCCCATTCAGGATGGACCTGCGGAGGAGGGAGAGGGAGGGAAGATCCAGATGGCGCCGGGGCTTTGGTACCTGGGCAGGTGACAGTGCCGGTACTGAACTGGGAGGGCCAGTGTGCCTCACCCGGACTGGTCCAGCTGTCAGGTCTGCATTCGGAGTTCTGGGCGGTCCCCATGGGTGGAGTTTAGTGCTGGCTGGGATGTGCTCTCCCAGGAGGGGGCAGGTTCCCAGGAGCACTGGTCACCAACGCCTCACCCTCTTCCTCCTGGAGCAGGTCCTAGAGCTTCTAAAGGTGGCCTGGAAGAGGCGACTCATCTTCACAGTGGGGACATCCAGCACCACGGGCGAGACCGATACCGTGGTGTGGAACGAGATCCACCACAAGACCGAGATGGACCGTAACGTGACAGGCCACGGGTACCCCGACCCCAACTACCTGCAGAACGTGCTGGCTGAGCTGGCTGCCCAGGGCGTGACTGAGGACTGCCTGGAGCCACAGTGACCTGCTGCCTGTTCCCCACTGCGGCTGGGCTGCCTCCAGAAAGGCCCTGCCGGAGATGCTAGAGTATTAGTTGGTATGGGCTGCACTCCACCTGCAGCCGGGGCTTCTGCCTCTCCCCCCTCCTCCCGTGCGGGCATGGATCTGTGTAGGACTGGGCGGCCCTGGGGAGTTGTACTTGTGGGGGCTAAGATGCAGCTACCTCAGTGCACGGGCCCTCTGTCCTCCGGAGGGCTGCTTTGGGCCCACAGTGTCCAGGGCAGGGGTGGGTGTTGGAGCCTGCCTCATGCCTCATCCCTAGCTGGGGTGGGCATGGGTTCTGAGTCAGCTTCTCATACCTCAGATTTTGTTTGCAATAAATGCCCGCTAGCCAAAGTCAGCAGGCCCCAGTGTGTCTATCAGTGGAGAGAGAGTGTGGGTATGTGCATGCCTATATGTATTCATGAGATCTGACCTGTGCACGGGTTGGCACATGTGTCCTGCTGCATCAGAGCTGGGAGGGGTCTTACATGTTTCCTGTTCAACCTCCATTTGTAACTGAAGAACGGGCTATGCTGAGGGCCCGCGAGTAATAGTGCTGACCTGCTTCCCCACCCTCCACGCTCGTTCTCTGCTCTGAGCAGCCCACACCTGACTGCCCAGGCTGTGACCAAGGACAGCTGGAGCAGCAGGGACCTGCTGGCTTGTTTCCCCACTGTGGGCACACTGCCCCTGGATGTTTGCTGCTCCTTTCCCACTGTGGGTTCAGGGGGTGGTGACCTGGACCTAAGGCCTGAAGAAGGAGGCAGCTGCCAGGAGCCTGCTGGGCTGGGTTACATGCTCTTCAGAGGCAGGCTAGCAAGAGGGGGGACCCAGGGAAAGACTGGACAGCCCTGAGGAGTCATGTCTGCAGGAGACCTGAATGGAAAGAGCCTGCAGGGCAGCCTGGGTGGAGGCTCTGAGATGGGAACCAGCCAGGATAGGAGTGAAGGCTGCAAGTGGGGCCACGTCCTCCCAGGGCAGCCCCTCATGTTTGTTTCCCCAAGGTTCTGGTTTAAAGTGTGTCCGCACTGGGCCAGCGCTGCAGTCTCCGTTCTGCAGTGGGGAGACTGAGCTTCATATGTGCAGTGACTGACCCAAGGTCCTAGGTAGTGAGGTGAGAGAGCCAGACCTAGAGTCTGGGCCGAGATTGGTCTGATGTCGAACTCAAAACACTAGTTCTTTTTTAAAAAAGAAAAAACTTGTTCATGATAGAGTATGTGTACACAGGGGAGAGAGAGAAAGATTAGCATCCCCACAGGGTCTGGTCATGCTCAGTCCCCTTCTTCCTCCAGCCCTCCAGCCTATCAGATCCTGGGCTCATGCATGTGCCTGGCATATTTAAGAAGGACCAGGCCGGGGATTCGAACCACAGTTACCATGTGGGATCCAACTTCTCTTGAGCAGCACAGTACCACTATGCCACAGAGCAGGCCTGCTACTTCTTCACCCTCTTAGGAGGATCACAGACCCCCAGTGAAGACCCTGGAGCCTGCCTGCTGGTAGTTCTGGCTGGAGCTGAAGGGACACGCAGAGCTACATTATGACTGTTAGGGGCCAAAGGCTCTATTGCCTTTGTGAGCCTCTTTCTCTGTTAAAAGATATTTTTGGGTCCAGCAGGTGGCATGGTGGTTAAGACACTGGGTCCTACATGACTGGCTGCACAGTTCAAGTCCCAGACCCATTGTAGTAAAAGTTATGACAGGTGAGTTGTGCATGCATGCCCAAAATCCTGAGAGGAGAAGGGATTGCAGTGTGACCATTTTCCCTGGAGGATGATTTCTCACCCTCCCCACCCCTGTCTCTCACGTCTGTCTCTATGAAAAGTGCACATACCTTATAGCAAAAATCTAAGGAAAATTACTTTATGGGCCAGCCTGTAGTGTGGTGGTTAAGGTGGCTGGATCCCTTGTGATCTACTACACAGTTCAAGTCCCAAATCTGGGGGCTTGAAAAACACTCTAGGCATACGCACATGGGTGCCCGAGACCCTGAGAGGAAACGGAGAAGGGACTGCAGCATGGCCATCCCCGCTGAGGGGCCGTTTCTCACTTTACCTCTCTCCGTCTCTCTCCAGCAAGCATATGCACCCTATGGCAAAAACCTAAAAAAAAAATTTACAGCAGGCTGTTAGAAAGATAACATATATCAGTGTCAATATATATCAGAGGATTTTCCTCATCTAGAAGTTCATTTTTTTCTTTTGGTTTTAAAAGAAATCAAAACATCTTCTTGGGTTCCTGAAAGTATTACGGGCTTGGGCTAGCCCTGTAGCCTAGTGTTTAAGGTACTCAGACCCCACGTGACCAACCATAGTTTGAATTTCAGTCCCAGCAACTTGGAAAACATGCCATGGATGTGTGCATGGGTGCCCAAAATTGCGACAGGAGGTAAAAATGGAGGAGGGACTGGGGCATGACCACACCCCATTGGAGCTTCTCCCTCCCACACACACAGATCTCTGTCTCTGACAATGAAGAAAAAAGTATTGTGGGCCCAAAGTACTGTGCCTAATGAATGGGTAAGTTGGTCCTAGGAAGGGCAGTGAGGCCCCCGTAGAGGACCCAGCTTGGCCAGCCCCCAAACCTGCTTGTTTCCACATGGAAGATTCCTCTTCTGGCTCACAGGGCCTTAGAGCATGGGAGTTGGAGCAGGCACCTGTACATGCCACCTCTGGCTCCAGAATCTCTGCTGTGGAGAATTAGGATGGGGGAAGTATTTACAAATCACGTACCTGGTAAGGGTCTAGTGTCCAGAATATAAAAAGAACTCAAAGGGCAGCAGATGGCATGGAGCTTAAGGCTGCTGGGTCCCACATGACCAGCAGTGAGGTTTGAGTCCCAGACTCAGTAGCTTGAATAAACATGCTGGGTGTGTGTGTGTGTGTGTGCCCAAAATCCTGAAAGGAGACTGGAGGAGGGTGCCCAAAATTGCGACAGGAGGTAAAAATGGAGGAGGGACTGGGGCATGACCACACCCCATTGGAGCTTCTCCCTCCCACACACACAGATCTCTGTCTCTGACAATGAAGAAAAAAGTATTGTGGGCCCAAAGTACTGTGCCTAATGAATGGGTAAGTTGGTCCTAGGAAGGGCAGTGAGGCCCCCGTAGAGGACCCAGCTTGGCCAGCCCCCAAACCTGCTTGTTTCCACATGGAAGATTCCTCTTCTGGCTCACAGGGCCTTAGAGCATGGGAGTTGGAGCAGGCACCTGTACATGCCACCTCTGGCTCCAGAATCTCTGCTGTGGAGAATTAGGATGGGGGAAGTATTTACAAATCACGTACCTGGTAAGGGTCTAGTGTCCAGAATATAAAAAGAACTCAAAGGGCAGCAGATGGCATGGAGCTTAAGGCTGCTGGGTCCCACATGACCAGCAGTGAGGTTTGAGTCCCAGACTCAGTAGCTTGAATAAACATGCTGGGTGTGTGTGTGTGTGTGTGCCCAAAATCCTGAAAGGAGACTGGAGGAGAAGGGATTGCACCATGGCCATCCCTCCTGGGAGTGATTTTTCACTTTGTCTCTCAGTGAGTACATGTGCTCTGTAGCAAAACACAGAAAAACCTCCAGACTCAACAACAAAAGGACAACCCAGTTAAGAGATGGGAAAGGACTCAGACAGACATTTCTCTGAAGAAGATAGACAAATTTCCCAACAAGCACAGAAGATGCTCAGTGTCGTTAGACATTAGGGAAGTGCAGACCCACCCATTAGAGTGGCTGTGGCCACACGAGAATAATGGTGCTGGAGAGGAATAGCCATTGCTTCTGGGAATGGAGCGAAGCAGTTCATTCCTGGAGAAGGAATCCCTACAGGCCTCAGCAATTCCACTTCTAGGTACTTAGCCAGGGGAACTGAAAACACGTCTGCACGAAAACTGGTGTACACATATTCATGGAACAGTGTTCATGACAGCCAGAAGATGGGAACAAGCCAAACGCCCGTCAGCAAGTGGATCCATAAAAGTGGTCATAGCATCCAGGTGACAGAATATTACTCAGCCATAAGAACGAATGAAGTACCTACAGCATGGATGAGCTTGAAAACATGTCAGATGAAGGACGCCAGGCACCAGGCCCACACTGATTCCATATCGCTGTGTTCTTTACAGGCAACTCCGAAGAGCCAAAGTAGGTTACTGGTTGCTGGGGGAGGGGGAGGGCTGACTTCATGGGTGTAGCGAGAAGGTGGCACTTGCACGCGCGCGCACACACACACACACACACACACACACACGAGTGAGTATACCAAACATCATTGAGCTGTAAATCACTGGGCTGTGAATTTTATGGTATATGAATTGCATCTTAAAAAAAAAAATGCCTAGAAGGGGTCTGGCAGGTGGTGTGGTTAAGGCGCTAGACTCCCACGTGGCTGACCATAGTTTGAATCCTGGACCTGGCAGCCTGCTTTCTCCTTTCCTTTTCTGTCTCTCTCTGGTCAAATTTTTTAAAATAATAATAGTAACTATTAACTAAAAGATAAATAATTGTTTTTTAAAAATTGCCTAGAGGGAGAACCGAAGGAGGAATGGGAGTGGAGGGCTCGCCCTCTGCCCAGGGTCTTAGAATCACTTCTTTGAGTCTAAATTCTGCCTTTGGACTGAGGCTGCAAAGTAAGGGGGGCTGGGGGGCACGTGGCCTGTAGGCATGGCATGGAGGGCCCCAGAGGTGGGTGGGGATGGACTGCAATGGAACTGGAGCTGGACAGGCTGGGGCTGCTCTGCTCTCTGCTCCCCATTCGCCACTCCCTGGGTGGGGAAGGAAAGCCAGAGGGAGGCTCCTGGCACCTGGGGTACAGGAATCTCAGGCATGCAGCCTTGAGCTCCTGAGGAGAGGAGTGGGAGGCTGGGTGGGCCCAAACTAGACATTGGCCTCTGGGTTGGCCTGGCAAACATCTGGGGGGGGGGTGGGACGGACTGGGGGTAGGAGGGCCCTCAGCCCTGGAGGTGG